ATTTCCAGCACAAAGGAATCAATTTCGCACTGGGTCACAGCGGAGAAACATAAACCTAGTTTTGGGCCAACTTGGGCCAACGGCGCGCTTGTTATTTTCTCTTTGGGGATCGCCCTGTTCTCTAGCGCCGCCCCGACCCTTGTTAGCGCGGGGGGGGGAGGGGGGAGGTGCCTGGCGGGCGCTGCTGGTGCACCGAGGCGGCTGCTGGTGCTGCTGCAGGGCTGAGCTCTGGGAGAGTGCTCTTTTTTGTATGAGACGAGGGTAAATGGATAAAAAGGATTACTTCCTTATTAGTTGCCGGAAAATGTCATTCATTCTGCTTTTTTTATTACTCTGTAGTAGTGGATATAATAATACCCTTTTCCTTTTGTCAGTAATTATTATATTTCTGCACATATAAGTGTGGTGTAATGGTTTTAAAAATAATTTGTAGTTTAAGTATTACAATCTCATTAAACATTGAACAAATATTTGAGTAAATAGGAATATGCGATGAAGTATAAGTTCCTAGTTTGTCCAAGTAGCTGTATTAATAAATAATAGAAAGAAACTATTAAATCGGATTGAATCCCCCAAATTATCTTCGGATTGAATTGTGTCGTAGCTTAAGCAGTGTGTTAAAATGGTTTATCAGATTTGAAGTTGATTTCGCAGTCGAGACAATAAGCTGTTTCGGAAACAAAATGTATTTGATTCGAGTTTGAAAGAAGACACAATATTTTCCCTGTCGTACTTGTAAAATTGTCAGCAATATTTAAAAATTATTTAATAATATTTCTTCTGTAACTCAAAATCAGTAATTGTTACATATTCGCTTACATATTGAAGGAAAAATATTGATTGGAAATCGGCGAAGTTTTGATAGAAAAATTCCTATTGTGCTGTCTAGTATCGAGTTCGTAAATAAAATCTGTTTGATGAAATCAGATATTAAAATAACATCAATTTTAAACTAGTGCTCCTACTGATTGATACAAACTTTCTCGTACTAGTTAGTTTTCTAATTCCTAACTTTTCGGTCTTGTCACATTCTCTTCTCAGTTATCATCTATCGCCGCCCAAAATATTTTTTAATATTTTCCCGTTTTTTCCCGTTTTCTAAAGAAAGAACT